ATGGCAAAACCCCGTCTCTACTAAAAATTCAAAAATTAGCTGGGTGTCTTGGTGCACATCTGTAATCTTGGCTACTTGAGAGCTGAGGCTGGAGAATCACTTGAACCCAGGAGGTGGAGGTTGTAGTGAGCCAAGATTGCAACACTGCCCTCCAGCCTGGGTGACAGAGTGAGACTGTCTCAAAAAAAAAAAAAAAGTTAAAAAATATATAGAGTTTAAAAATACGAATTACCAAAATACTGTAGTTTGATGTCACTACTCACTTTTTTTGTTTTTTATTCTTTTTTTTTTTTTTTTTTTTTGATATGCAGTCTTGCTCTGTCACCCAGGCTGGAGTGCAGTGTTGCAGTCTTGGCTCACTGTAACCTCCACATCCCAGGTTCAAGTGATTCTCCTGCCTCAGCCTCCCGAGTAGCTGGGATTACAGACACGCGCCACTATGCCCAGCTAATTTTTGCATTTTTAGTAGAGATGGGGTTTCACCATGTTGGCCAGGCTGGTCTTGAACTCCTGGCCTTGTGATCTGCCTGCCTCAGACTCCCAAAGTGCTGGGATTACAGGCATAAGCCACCGTGCCCATCCACTACTCACTTTTTCTTAGCCTTTTCATTACTGATGAACTAGATTAGAACAGTAAGTGGATTGTTACACTTGACATTTTGTACTTCATCTGGAAATACTGGCGTTAAAAACTAAGTCATACTGCCATTTGTATAATATTCTTAGATCTTTATAGGTGTTTTTTCTTCAAATAAAAATTGTGTTTTTAAATGTCTTTGATATGATTGTTCAAAATGTTTGATATTTTTGTAAAACAGAATTAGAAAACCTCTGGCCCCAGCATCAGAATGGACCCTTGATTTGATTTCCTCTGACCTTTGGAAAACTGGTCTTTGGTATTAATGCTGTATGCAAGAGGACCTCATAAGGTGCTCTGGTTCTTTCAGAATGGAACATGAAAACTGGAGAGTTAGTGTCAGTGCTCAGTGAACATCTTTTGTGAGCTGTGGGTTAGACTTTGATGCTTACAAGCCACATAAATAGCAAGCCATGGACTCCATTGACTTGTCCCATTTCTCTGGCTTTCCACATTTTTCTTCTTATTCTTGTTTTGTCTCTTCATTATATTTCTTCCTCTTGATGGGTTTCCACCTCTTTGTAGTATGTGTTTTCCTGACCTATTCTATTTCTGATCCTCACTCTGGGGCAGTCCTGGCCTGCCATCTTGGGAAGCTATGTTTTTAGGAGCCAAGACCAGCTTGTGAGGATGGAGGTCTGGGCTTTCAGAAGCCATGCTGCAGAAACAAACACAGGCAAAAAGTACTCTTGCCTAACAACATCTTCATTACTTTGTGGAGTATTTTAGTTTTTTCTTAATATGTTTAAAAAAATTTTTATTTTAGATTCAGGGGCGCACATGTGCAGGTTTATTATATGGGTATATTGCATGATGCTGAGGCTTGGGCTTCTAATGATCCAGTTGCCCAAGTAATGTACGTAGTACCTGATAGGTAGTTTTTCAACCCTTGCCTCCCTCCCCCCAATTTTGGAATCCCCAATGTTTATTGTTACCTTTTCTGTGTCTGTGTATAACAATGTTTAGCTCCTACTTATAAGTGAGAACATGTGGTATTTGATTTTTTTTCTGCATTAATTTGCTTACGATAATGGCCTTCAGCTGCATCTATGTTGCCATAAAGGACACGGTTTTCTTTTTGGCTGCATAGTACTCCATGGTATATAAGTATATTGTGGAAATTTGACCCTAAATTCTGTTTCACACAGTCTGCCTTAGGCATCTGTTCTTGGATTTTGATGTTTGCCAGGTTTGTAATTTTGATCCTATATCATAAGCTGAAATTTAGTGTCTTAGTCATACCTTAATTCTTTCCTTCACCTGATTTTTGGTTTGCATTTCCTGCCTTGGAGTCACCCAACCCCCTCAGCAAGTTGTATTAGTATCAACATCAAAATAGAGTTACCTGCAGAATATCTTAATACAGCGCTTAGTGGTGATGTTCATATTGGAAAAATTTCACAAAACAAAGTGCAGAAAAAGTCTCTCAGGTTGTACTCCATATACAAATGCTAGAACATCAGAATCACTTGGGAAGATTTTGAAGTCAGCAAAGGGTGCATCTAAGACATCCTAACGCTAAGAGACATGAGGTATCATACTCCTGTTTCTACACAAAAAAAATCTGTTTGTTAATCATATTGTTTAGTGGCTACTAAGTAGTATTTTGGGTATTTTACATTTATTTTATATGATAGGTTTGTTTTTCATATTGGCATTTTCCCGAGTTTTAGAACTAGTTATTTTGGAAATTAGTTGGCAGGGGAAAGGGTTGAGTGGTATGTCACGCATATTTTAAGACATTGGGGGACAGGTTCCTCTTGAGTATTTTCATGCAGAACATCTGATTTTAGAAATATTTTATAGCCATTAAGTGGGAAATGCTCCTGTCTTCAAATCTGACCACTTACCATCGCCACTGATATTACCACCCTGGTCCATGGATCTACCATCTATTCCCTGAACTCCTTTAATGAGCGTTTCTACCTCTATCCTTTCCGATCTGTTCCCAGCACAGCAGGCAGAAATGAACCCTCTGTCAATGTCAGTTCACTTTAGTCCTGCACATAGAATATTGTATTAGCTCCCCATTTTACTCAGAGAAAAAGTCAAACTTCATTCATTGGTCCACGTTTTCTTTTCCTATATCTCTGTAATATAGATCATAATCTGAACTGAAACTATATATTCATTAGTTGGATTTTTTGGAGTAATGTTTTATGTTTTCTATCTTAATTTTAAAAGTATGTAAGTTATCTTCCTTTAAAAGAAAGATTATTCATTTGCATGTGATTTTTAAAATTCTTTCTGCGGTTAATGGCCCTCACCCTCAGGAGACAGATACTCCGATTTTAATATATTTCCTCATTTCCGAAATGAAGATAAAAGTATCTACCAATAATACCTGTTTACCTCAAAAACCTCTATTGCCTTTTTTTCTCATCACACCTTTACTTATTTACAGAAACCTTCATTTATCTCAAATATGCTGGGACATGATTAAAGCTCTTTAAGCTATCCTGATCATAGCTGAATGGCTTGTTTATAGATTTGCAAGCAGGTTTCAAATAAAAATTCATCCTAATAAGATGAAACAAAAATAAAACTAAGTCATTTTTGTGAAGGAAGAGCCCCCTCTGTGAGTGGGGTCAGGTCAGGGGAAGATTGTAGTGTGATTAATTTTATTTATGGACCCTAAAAATTGAATCTAAAATTTGCAACACATCTGTTTTTCTCACATTCTATGGCTTTTATGTCAGTTTTCTTTAGTAAGTTTTTTACACGTGTGGATTACTGTGTTTTTAAAAAATTTTTTATTAATATGATTTTTTATTGATTTATTTCTTCATAGCATGTTTCCCAAACATAAATACTAGACTGTGTATATGTATATCATGTTACATCTTTACTTTTTATATGGTTGAACTTTTTTATTTCTGTGAATCCATTTCCTCTTCAGGTAATTTATGGGATCATCTAAAGCTTAAATTTATGTTTGAAGTCTTCACCAAAATTCTAATTCAGATATTAATATATTATTATAGATGTTTGTCAGTAATTACTTGCAAGTTTATCTCATCACAGTTTGAAAATCTGTGTGTAAGAGCATCAGACAATATGAACTTAGTGTTAGTGTTACTTGGAAAACTTGCAGAATAAATTTAAAAATGAAGAAAGTCTCATTTTAAATTGATTTTTCACTTTTTGCTCTAATAATTCAAGAAAGGTAGACAGGCCAGACTGGCAGAATCCTGGCCTCTGCGGTTGGCTGGCATTTACACAGGTCTTTCATATATGATTTAATAAAAGGTGACATGAAATTCAGAAATGTAATCTATAAGACAATCAGAGAAAGACAATTTTTGAAGCACATTCTTGTCAGTATTGTATAATGCCTGTTCTGTAACTGTAATTTTTTTGTGTATCTGTCAAATGATGTTAAGCTATATTCAGTAATGAGGATAGCAGGAATTCGAGACCCCATGTTCATTTCTTTTTGTGACAGGAAGGTCAGCTTTTTAAAAAATAAGAAAGGAATAGAAATTAACATTTCTCCAGAATTATGTTTCCCTTCATTTGAGGTTATCTCTTAATTCCAGCATTTTACTGCGTTTGATAAATAGGCCAAATATGTGTTTTATTTATTTGAGGGCTTGGGGGAGGCAATGAAACTTTACAAATTTCAACTGGCATTGCAGTCTGCTGATAAGGATGGGAGTTTGCACCGCTCTGAAGAGATTACATGAAGTAGAATTGGAAAGCAAATTGTATTTACAAAAGATAGGATGATGTTCCTAATAGGTGTTCAGAATAGACTATTCACTCTCATATTCTGCTGAGCTTTGCGAGACATAACTTTATTTCAAAAAGGACAAATCTGACTGAAGGGAAAAGCATTCCCTCTTCACAGATACTTTTCCAAAAGGGTTTACATTAAATTTTCCTGATGGGCACACAGCAGTATTTCATGCTGTATCTGTATAAACCATTAATGTGGAAAGTAAATATCTAAATAGTATACTTGATTGCTTCATGCACCAACCATTAGATTACTAGATCTCTATCTACAGTTTTGGGAGAGATGTTGCAATATGATGTCCTGGCAATAACTGTCAAAGTCATCATACCAGGATCCATTTTCATCTTGTTGAGGTAAAGTTATTAAAATGCACAGTTGGTAGGTCAGAAAGATCACTCACTATCTCTTGTCATCTGTGGTTTAATGCTGACCTAAACCACTACTGCATAATGTCAGAATTATCACAGTGTCCAGGCTGCGGAAGTACAACATGCTTCATGATTTATTGCATTTCCTGTCTGGAATGAAGATTATGAAAAGGCCAACAACTGTCTGCAAGCTACAGTGGTTTAGAAGAAAACTTAATTTCTAATTTTTATTTCTCTTTTTCCTCATTCGTTTTAGATTTTGGATTTAGCAAAGGGGACACATTACCAGGTAGCCTGTCAAAAATACTTTGAGATGATACACAATGTAAGTATTTTTTTTTTTTTTTACTTCATATCCTAATGATTTGTCTTTTGTTACTGTGTCACATTCAGGGTGTTTAGTTGCATCAGTGGAAACCACTCTAGCTATTTTCAGCAGAAAGGGGGATTGCATGGTATTAGGTAACTTACAGCATTTATTGAATGACCAGACAACTAAGCTTGGATGCTGCAGAAGCAGGAATATTTTGTAACTAGGAGAAGCTACATCATAAGAATATCTGCACCTGTCACCTACCACTCCATATCTAGGGATAAGACCAAGGGTCAATAAAGTTTTTCTGTAAAGATCCAGAGTGTAAAAATTTTAGGCGTCATGGTCCATATGGTCTGCGTCACAGCTACTCAACTCTACTGTTGTAGTGCAAAAGCAGCCGTAGAAAGTATGCAAATGAACAGGCATGACTATTGATCCAATAGAATTTTATTTATAAAATTAGGTAGTAGACCCAGTTTGACCCACGGGCCTTGATTTGCCAACCTCTAGACTAGATCTGGAACCTGTGCCACAGCTGCCTAGAAGAACCAAAGGCTTTTGCCATTTTCCATGCAGAAAATCTGATCGTTGTACTTGTGGCTGCCACCTGATGTTATCTTACCCTCTTCCCACGTCTCATATTTATCTGCATGGCAAAACCTAGATTGCATGTGGACCCCTAACTATAAACGAGTCAGGGAAATGTGTTTGGTTTTTATCTTGCCAGCTTCCTTAGTAAAAAAAAGCCCGCTTGATTATTAGAGTAAGAGTGGAATGACCCAGTCTGGCACAGAATAGATTTTGAAGTGTGTAAAGCCAATGTCACAAACTCAGAGGCCTACAGAGATTGGGCAAATAGCCCAAAAAAATGAAGCTGCCTGAGATTAGTACCACAGAGTATGGTAGAATTATGGTGCACTGAAGATGTTTGCCCTATTAGAGGCATTCACATTGACAAATTGTGAGGCTCTCTGCAGGCCAACAAAACACATCTCCAAGTCCAATTCAGCTCTCTGGCCCCTAGTTTGCATCCACTGATCCTGAGCCTGGATTTCTAACCTGGGAAAGACATCCAAGAATGGACTTTGGAGATCCTTGTCCTTCTTGAAACATTTTGTCTCTTAAGAACATATGTGTGTTTTTCTGGAGTCCATGGTATTTATTAAAGATCCATGACCCTCCCAAAAAAGAAGTTGCATTTATTGAGATCATCATCAGCTACTATGCTAAAGTTTTACAATTATTTTTATGCTTTTTATTTGGTTGTTACAAAGTAGTTTTTCCTATTATGGTTATATAATTGCAGAATTTCTTACTTGATAAAGTATCTCATAGGAAAAAGATATTTTGTAATATTGCCAATAATAATTAATAATAGTAATACCAGCCAATATCTATGGAACCCTTAATGCAGTGGTCCTTAACCTTTTTGGCACCAGGGACAGTTTCATGGAAGACAATTTTTCCATGGTTAAACAGGGGCTGGTGGGAGGGCGCATTAGATAATCACAAGAAGCACACAACCTAGATCCTTTGCCTGTGAGGTTCACAGTAGGGTTCGCACCCTCATGAGAATCTAAGGCCACTGCTGATCTGACAGGAGGTGAAGCTCAGGTGGTGATTCAAGTGATGGAGAGTGGCTGTAAATACAGATGAAGCTCCACTTGCTCACCCACCACTCTCCTCCTGCAGACCACAGACTGGGTTGGGAACCCCTGCCTTAATGTATACCAAGCACAGCACTAAAATTTTTTTAACACATTAGCTCTTTTGATTGACATTACAGCAAGATACTGTGTGTATATATCCCTGTCTATGAATAAAACCTCTTTAGAGAAGTTAAACAACCTGTGTTGGATCATACTACTTATAGGGGATGGAACTTAGATTTAAATTCAAGCCGTCTAACTCATCTAAAGCTTGTGAGCCTAACCATCACTGTGCTGTTCTATAGTATTTGGTACTAAATTTCTAATAATGACAGCAGAGGTAATTGGCGTCTTCCTGTTTATCTTCATAGCATGGTAAACATGTAGGGACTCTAACTTGCCTTACATGCTGTAATTGGTTAATGGAAGATCTGGAGCTAGAACCCCCATCTGTTGTGGGTCCTGTCCTCATTCTTCTATACCTAGCTTTTGAAAGTATTATTCTAAGAACTTTTTTTAAAACAAAACTTCAAGGAGTAAACATCAAGAAAATAGTAAGCAACAACAAAATCTCATTTGTTTTATCACCATAGGAATCTCGCCAGATAAGCCATGTTTGGCAACACCAGGTTTATATGACTCACTCTCTCGAAGACTGCATTCCTTAATTTGCTTGTTCCACTTGGGTTTTAATTTCATATTGTTCTTTAATCACTTATAGACCCTTTTAATTAAGAGGCCTCAGAACTTTCACAAATGAGGTCTATTATCCAACCTCTTTACTTTTTATAAAAATAAGATACGAAAATTAGATATAAACATTGAGTTTGTGGCATAATCACCAAAAAGTAAGGAGTGGTTTTTTAGTTCTCAAAATCTGCTTTTGTATTATCTCTCCTATTGATTATTCCCTCGAGCATTGCTGCTATTGCCAATCTTTAAAACTTGCTTTAGATTAATGAAGATTTTGGAAAGACATATATCTAAATCCCCTCACGTGTAGAAATAGTCTAACTTAAACCACATATAAATCAACAAAATAAAAAGGCTGTTTATATTCACTAGATCTCTCACTGTGGAGTTTTAGATGTGAATATCCTCCTTCATTTATTATTTTTTCTAATTTAATTTAAAAACAGAATCTATTTTTATTGTCAGGTTTCTGCCATCCTACCCCTCCCCCAAATAAAATCCTATGTTTATTTTCCCGAGGCCTCTGTGATCAAACTCACTTAAATGGAAGTTTTGAAAATGAACCAGTTAATTGATACCATTTGCAGCAGCATTATGATAGTTCCATATGGCTTTTTTGGTAATACCAACTGCCTCATTTTAAGCTGTCATTGCAAAACCTCTTGATTAAAACCCAAATATCCCATAGGTAAAACAATATTGCTTTCATTCCTTCAAAATCAGCATTTGCAGCGGCAGAAATACGAGACCCATGTTTGTGTGAAGGTCATTGTGTGCAGAATGTGCTGATGCCAAGCAAATGTTTGAGAGAGATTCATTTAGTAGATGTTAAAAGCTGGCCTGCTTGAAACCTGTTTTCCTCTGTAGTTTTAGGGTCAATGTTTAAAATAATTTTATACTAATAGTATATTCTTTACTTTCTGCATGTTCCATGTGTAAATGAAAACACTAGGTCATGTGTAGATTAACCACAGAATTTTAATAGAAAATAATGTTTTCAGAGGTAGACCTCTTTGGACACGGAGTAACTGTGGGTACTTATTTTCCAAGTGGCTGAGGATAATTTTTCCCCACCATATAAATCTCTAGAGAAATCTTATTAAAACCTATCACCCATTTTCCTGCAATCTTAAACAGGATATATGTGATACAATTAAGCCCTTTTATAATCACTCAGGGTCATCATTATGGATATCAGTTAGAATGCTGGGCTAGAAGCCACCATCATCTCACTTGGATCACTGCAATAGCTTCCTAACTCATTTCCCAGCATCTACACATGCCCCATTCCAATTCTTTCTCCTCCACACAGCTGCTGGAGTGACCTTTAAAATAGAGGAATCTGATCATTTCAGGAACCTGCTTTTTAAAACCTTCAATGGCTTCCTATTTCTCTTCAGATGAAATCTGAAATTTATAATGTATCCTCTAAAGGCCTCCACTCCACCTACTTTCCTCTAGACTCCTGAACTTGTTTCAGATCCTTCACAGGACATTGGATCTGAAACACTAGGACCAAGCTAGTGTGGTAGAATGCAAACGCTTCACAGAATGTTCCTGTCTCAATACATAAAATAATGCACAAAACATAATTTTAAAAATCATCAACCACAAAGAAAAACACCAATGGCCGGGCGCGGTGGCTCAAGCCTGTAATCCCAGCACTTTGGGAGGCCGAGACGGGCGGATCACGAGGTCAGGAGATCGAGACCATCCTGGCTAACACGGTGAAAACCCCATCTCTATTAAAAAATACAAAAAACTAGCCGGGTGAGGTGGCGGCGCCTGTAGTCCCAGCTACTCGGGAGGCTGAGGCAGGAGAATGGCGGGAACCCGGGAGGCGGAGCTTGCAGTGAGCTGAGATCCGGCCACTGCACTCCAGCCCGGGCGAAAGAGCGAGACTCCGTCTCAAAAAAAAAAAAGAAAAGAAAAGAAAAGAAAAACATCACCAACAGTAACCAAAAAAGAAAACGGGCAAGGAAAGAAACAAAAAACTCACAAAGTCGTGAAAATGCTCGCTTAATATTTCCAAACGGAGTAAAGGAAATAGCTGCTGACTTGAGAAGAAATAAGTGAAATGGAAGATTTAGATGTGGATACCTCTATTTCTCTATTCCTTTTCCTAATTTAATTTTAAAGTAAGATTTCCATTTTGTTTACTTTATGCTCTTCCCCTTCCCCCCACATACAAAAAAAATCTCTAAGTTTATTTTCCTAAACAAGACCAAAGGAAACTGAATGACAGCCGTATACACTTCCTTTAAAAATGAAAATGAAAGAAACACTCAGAACACAAAGAACGCGTCCTAGAAGAAAATATAGAATTCTATAAAAAGGAAACTTCATAATTTCATTTTACTGTCAAGCAACTTAGTAGATCACAATGAACATCACAAAATGAGTTAAGGACAATTGCAGATCAAGAAAAAGGAGAAACAGCATCACAGAGCCTTGGCACAAATCCTCACTTCAAGGCCCTTGGCACTGTTTTAGTGGTTAATAAAAAATATTAATTACCTTTGAAAAAAAGGCAGCAGCCCCATGAGGGGCTTATAGATAAAATCCCCATCTCCCTGGGATGGAGCACATGGGGGAAGGGGCGGCTGTGGGTGCAGCTTCAGCAGACTTAAACGTTCCTGCCTGCTGGCTCTAAAGAGAGCAGCAGAT